ATTAACAACCCTTGTAACTTTTTGTTTCAATTGTTACCTCTTTAGGGATTTTTAAGTTAGTAAAGTTTCATTTTGAGTTTCCCTTGATTTACATGTAAATGCAGCTTTGTACTTCACGAAAAATTAGTCAATATAAAATGCAGTGCCTCTTTTCTCTTTGACACCTTCTTGTTAATTTTCTAATGGCAATGCAGTGACACGTCAACTCACCCAGATAATGCATGCTGAATTTGAAGAACATATTAACAATGGAATTCTTACAAGTGAATATATGGAAGGGTTTACATGGATTTCTTACTAAAAAGTATACAACATACTCTACAAAGGCTATCATATTTGGACAAGTCTGAATAATATTACAGTCATTCAGCATTGTCTTCGTTACTATGATTATCATCATCATCATTGGGTGCTGGAGAGACACTGCGGGACTTTGTTTCTGGATCATTGGCAGCTGGCTTCTCCGTTTCCTCCTCTTTTTTAATTTCTTCCGCATCTTTACATGTATCTTCTTCCTTTTCCTTCTCTTGCTTCTTGTCTGGGCTTGTACTTCTGAAAATAACCAAGCTTAGTCATTCAGAAGAACTTTTCTGGACAAATCATCGGCTTGAGCAACCAAACTGCTCAACAGAGTCAATTCTCCTAGAAGAATTCTACTGTACATAATTTTATCAGTAGTGATTATTTGAGATCAAAATACGGACAAGTCTAAAGATCTCTCTATTAATAGAGAGATTTTTAGACTTGTCCGTATTTTGATCTCAAATATTCACTACTGATAAAATTATGTACACTGTACGTCTACACAAATCCAGTGGTTACCCCTACACTGTAAGCAAAAACTCGACCTAAGGAACATGGTTCATATTTTTTTATGGAATTAAAAGTTAAAGGACTTTTCAAAAACATTCCAAGATACAATAAATTCAATTTTTTTAAGAACTCCAGCTCCATCTGCCAAAGTTTGTGTTATTAGAATGTGACGCATGATGCTCAGCTTTAAGGAATACTTGTCAGGTTTGTTCAAGTTTAAGTCTTTCTTAGTTCTTCCACTACATGGAAACAAAACAACAAAACAACAAAATGTCAAGTTTTTCAAGGAGCCAATGTATTTTTCACAAAGGCTACATGTGAATCAAAACTTAATAACAGTCCTGAATATGATTTCCTCATTTTCAATACAATGATGACAGAGGAACTTATTTGTCGAAAATTACTGTGCGCAAACCTCACCTTCTTCCTTTCTCGGCTCTCTCTTTGCTTTGGCTTCGACTGCGGGAACGACTTTTACTATGAGACTTAGAGCGAGACCTTGACTTTTTGTCCTCATTTGATCGTGAACGTCTCCTGAAAATTAATGTACAGATACAATATTAGAGGAGGCTAAATGTACATGATTTTTGTGGGTAGGTGCCATGATGTTCATGAAGCCAAATAACATTCTGGAAATGCAAACAGGTATCCATGGTAACAATGCTAGCAGCAACACCTTATCCTTGATCTACTTGTAGAATACATGTGCTTAGTGAACCTGTTGATCTGGAGTAACACACTAAAGTTTTCTTCAAGAATGCAACCCTAAAAGGTTTTCACCAATGATCTTGAAAACGGAATGATAACAGACCTGTGAGACCATACCAGTACTTACGGTCACTCAGCAGTACATGCCATATGCCTAGAGATATGTAACAGATGATCCACTCTTGGTCTTGATTCAGAAATGATGTGATACATATTCAGGTTGTTTTATATTCAGGGTTGTTTTTTAAGGTGGTTCAATCAGTCTTTTAAGTGACGACTTCAGCCTCCTACAGCAATTTTTTCTAAAATGCCCTCATAGAGTTTTTAAACCTTTTTTAAAAAACCTTTTCCCATCTATGAAGAAGGAAGATATAAAACTTTGATGATCATCTTCCTTTCATTCACCAGTAATGATTGATTTTTATAATATTACACTAAACTGTTTCTGGTACTCATGGCTCACAAATCAGATTGAGCCACTTTAACAAACTAAATAAATACAGTACTTTGCAGTTCATCTGACCTTGGTGATGGGCTTCTGCTTCCACTTCTTTGTCGTTTGGGTGAACGTGAGCGGGACCTGTAAACATCAAAATATTCTTGGTTAAACCTTTTGCTGGTGTAA